TAGGTTTTGGAGGGTTCCTCTCATAAGCATAGCCAAGATTTTTTTGGGGGGGGCAGGACTTTGGGGGGGGGGGCAGAACAGAAGTGATTGGTCAGTTAAGTATTTCTATTGTTTTACTTGATGGGGGCAGCTGCCCTCCTGCCCCCCTTGGCTACATGCATGGTTCCGCTCCCCCCCACATGGACCAACACTGCTGCCTTTACTTTTTATGTGCCTTCAGAAACAACTCTGCTCACTAGCTCCACCCCAACCCTTCACCAAACTCTGCCTAGGGGAGCTGAGAGGGCGGACAACACCCCCCCCCCCCCGCATTGTGTTCATCCAGCCATCTGATGCAGTTTAGGAAGCCATTATGTCCTGTGCTCAGTTATTCAGCAGAATATATCCAACCAGATCAAGTCTATAGCATAGAGTAATGTAACATTTGTTAAAATTGAAAGAAGGCTCAGGATTGTTTGACAAGCCATGGCAAAAACTGCACACGGGTTGCTGTGAATTTGCGTCAGAGACCTGGAAAATCTTTTCTGCAAATACGCATTTGCACCCTCTTATCGGTTATATCACTGAGTGCACCTTCAGTAAACTGAATTAGGTACAAAGCATGGGTGGGGAAGTTTGTTTCAAAGGAGGCAGCTGTCAAGTCAAGCACAGCAGAGGTAAGAAGTGAGGCGATTTTCATCACGAAATCATGAACATAATGTAGAGATTGGCAAGAACAACAGTCAGAACGAGGGACAGCATAAGAGCAAATGATATCAAATGTGCTTGTTTTTTTAAAAAGGCTTGACAATTAAGGAAGTGCAGCACAGTGACAAATCAACACCACATCATGCAAAATCCTGCTTGAGTCCCATGTGCACACTGCGTGCTCATCACCAGCAACATTGACCCAGTTGGGCTTAAACTCTTCTTTTTCACACTGGAGTTTGGAGGTATCAGGATGAATAAAGAATCTACTTCATCATCTTCCTGACAGAATCAGGCATCCTTCATAATTCAGAGCCACAGAATAAATCAGCTTTTTGCAAACCAGCAATGCCTGCCACACCTTTTAAATTATTGTATATATTGTTTAAGAGCTCTGTGCCACCCTTCTGGTGTCTATACACCACTTGGGGCAGTTAACAACTACTTAAAAGCACAACACAATTATATATTTTATATATACTTGTTGGGTCTCTGGACCGTAATAAAGATTGATGATGATGATTTTATACACACACACACACACACACACACACAGCAACAATAAAAATACAGGAAATACGCCTTGAAAAAGTTTAAATGACTGAGAATACACTTAGCAGGAAAAAAACCCCTACTGACATAAAAAATGTATTTCCTAGCCAGAGATCCGGAGACAGGGTCTAAAATTTTTTTGTTCTCTTTGTGTGTGTGTGGCATTTGATCTATGTTGCAAAAAATCAGACTTCTTGTGACAGCTGGTGCTGCTTTGTAACCTAGCAAATACCTTAACTGTTTTAAAAAAAAAAACCCAAAAGTGATGTAGTTCCATGTTGAGTCTTATTTCTGTGTTGCATCCCCTTTTGTTGAATCGTTTCCCGGGGGAAGCTGTGTTAGTCTCCTGGAACGTAGCAGAACACTACATGACTCTGAGGAATTGGGCTGCAGTTCACAAAATTTATGCCATAGTAGATTTGTTGGTCTTTAATGTGCCACATCAGTCCTTGTTGCTTCTCTTGAATGAAATTGTAACTTACCTGGAAAGGGCTTGTCAGCGTCTTGTTTTGGAATGCCTGCAGGGCTGATCTCTTGCTGTGTACTGTATTAAACTTCCTGACATGAATTATTTTAGACTCACCTCCGCCCCTTCCTTTCGTGATATTACAGGCCTGAGAACTTCCTTTCTTTTACAGCACAGGAGCAAGTGGCGCTATTCAATGACTGTGGTGTTAGTGTGTTAGTGCCGCAAGATCTTTCCGGCCATGCAGCTTTTGTTGAAATAAACTTCCCTTAAACTAGATGGGTGTTTAAAGTCAAATGTCACTGAGATGACAGTTGTTTGTATTTCCAGTCTCCCTAACTGTACTCAACAAAACAATAAAAAGAAGGGGAATCTTTGCTTTAATTTCTGAAACAGTGCGTATTTAATCTTCACAAACATTGTGGAAATCAAATGTGATCACTGTCCCCCTCTTGTGTGGTTTTAAAAACCAAAGTATAAATCTATTAAAATGCACGCACACACAAAGCCATTATTAGAAAGGCAATTCATACATATCAAGGAGGCTGGCTTACCCTTAAACATTTCCAGCTGGCCATCTGCTGTTGCCTAATGAAACTGCCTTGTCTGCTTCACATGACCCAGTTGCCTGGACAATTGAGAGGAAGCACTTACTTTTATGTGAACAGAGTCACTGTAAAACCAAATTGCAAGGATCAGTTTACAGCACTAGCTCCTGGAAAAACACCACAATGCTTATGCCCTATGATCATCAGACAAGAATGAAAGGCCAAAGATATTCAGAGACAATTAAGCAGGCTAGGTTGGCAGCCTTGAACTGTCCCAGTCTCAAGTGCTTCTGAAAGCCTGTATGACTCTAAAGGACTTTTTAACAGGGTTTTCTTCCTGCTGGTTGCAAAGAGAAGCTTGCAAATGTCACCTCAGATTATAGACTAAACTCGTCTGGAGCCAGACAGACAAATGGATAGATTGGTGAATGTATGAAAAGTCACTTAAGCTGCACAGTCACTTAACATATGCACTCTATATATTACCTGCCTCGTTTTTAAAAGATGTTCAAATGACCCTGAATACTTAGGAGTATTCCTTCCAGCCCCAGCCGCAAAGCAAGATTGAGTAATGGGTTGTGGTTCTATATTGCACAGCTAACAGAGTGGCTGCTACGTACTTAGCTGAAGCAGTCGGAGAACGAAGTCAATCCCAAGTGATTGATTATTGCCCCATTCTTCCATGCAAGCACCATCTCAGATAAGGAATATATTTTAAACGACTGTACTCGAGTGGGAGAGAAGCAGTAATGCAGAGACCCAACTCCACACAGACCTTGTTGCTTTATGGCTACTTGCATTCTCTGAAAAGTGGAGCGATATCTTTAAGAGATCCCAGGAGTAACCAACAGTATCCCACAACCTGCATTTGTGGGGACAGCTGTTTCTCAAAATCACCCTGGCACGACTGTGGGTGAATCCCAGGGAAGATCCAGTCCCTTGTGGAGCTGTGGGTGCAGGAGACACAGATTCAAATCTCCACTCAGCCATAAAGCTCACTGGGCAACCTTGGGACAGTCACTGTATCTCAGTGTAACCCACCTCACAGGGTTGTTGTGAGGGGAAAGGGGTGTGAAAACACCTTGCGTGCCACATGAGCTCCTTGGAGGAAAGGTGAGAAAGAATGAATGTAAATAAATAGGTTTTGGGACAGCAGTGCCCTTTGGAGACTCTTCTTCCTTTGGCTCTTAATTAGATTGGCACAGGAGATGGAGCGGGTTAACAATTTTAGGGTCCTTGAGTCCCACAGGACCTAGGCTCCTCCTCCTCCTCCATGCCTGCCCAACAATATACGGCAAAGTAAAAGAGATAGAAAGCCATGTGAGGGAGTGTCTCCATGCAGAGTTGTCACTGAGGAAGGGAATTTCCTCAGTGAGACGAAATTCTATTTTTCATAGTAGGAGCAATGGCGCCATCTTCCGGAGCAGTATTTTGCCAGTGATGCCTGTAAGATTGGAATACAGGACAAGCTGTTGCTGCTGGAGGAAAATGTGCCCCCTCACAGCCGCCACCTCCTCCTCTGCTGTGCACCACCTGCCAACTGCAATGGATACTCAAGGGAGGAAGCAGTGGTGAGTGTGCAGATAAGGGTGCGTATGCAGAGGAGGAGGTGGCTGACATGTGCAGGAGATGGATCTGCCACCTCTCCCAGTTATCTGGAGCCTGCAGTCCTGAGGCAACGGCTTCACCCCGCCTCATGGACGGGGCTGGCACTGCTCAAATGCTTCGTCACCAGTGCTATGCAGCAGCACTGCATTATTATAATCTTCTGGTTTGCACGGATAACATTTGCTTCCAACTTCTCCAGTTCTCCTCCAAACTGCCAAACTGAACTCACGGAGGATGTGCAGGCATGCTTCATGCAGGGTCTATCAAAAACTGCAGAAACAAGCAGTGCCTGGTCCGGTGGAGCCCTGCTGTGCACCTGGTCTCCCTGCAGCAGTTTCTGCTGCTTACCAGGAGGGGCAAGGTGGAGGGAATGGTGATCAGATACACTGGTGGAGCTCATTTAGTGCTCTAGTCCATGTGCTTGCACTGCACCCTCCCTGCTGGACGCTGCTAGTAAAAAAATTATTCAGCCTTGGTGAAGGTGCAGACCCACTTCTTAGAATCATAGAGTTGGAAGGAACCCTCGTCCAACCCCATGCAATGCCACACAACTGTCCCTTATGGGAATCGAGTCTGCAACCTTGGCATTACCACCACCACACTCTAACCAGCTGATTCTAACACCAGCATGGCTGTCTCAAGTCTCTAAAGACCTACATTGGCTCCCAGTACATTTCCGAGCACAGTTCAAAGTGTTGGTGCTGACCTTTAAAGCCCTACACAGCCTCGGCCCAGTATACCTGAAGGAGTGTCTCCACCCCCATCATTCAGCGCGGACACTGAAGTCCAGCACTGAGGGCCTTCTGGCGGTTCCCTTGCTGTGAGGGAACTAGGCAGAGGGCCTTCTTGGTAGTGATGCCCGCCCTATGGAACGCCCTCCCATCAGATGTCAAGGAAATAAACTATTGTATCAGACTTTTAGAAGGCATCTGAAGGCAGCCCTGTTTAGGGAAGTTTTTAATGTTTGATGCTTTATCATGTTTTAATATTCTGTTGGGAGCCGCCTAGAGTGGCTGGGGAAACCCAGCCAGATGGGTGGGATATAAATTATAAATTATTATTATTAATAAACTGTTTATTTGTGATTTATATGCATGCATGCATGCATGAGTGGATCATGCTTGCATTTTGGGACTTACCTTTGAAGCGCAGCTATGAAGGCTGCCACGATGAGCTCCTGAACTTCAATTTTTCCCACTGGGCTATTGGGTGTTGCTGCCAGGAATGTTAAGAAATGCAGTTCGGCAGCCTCCAGGAATTCTCCAGCCTCCAGGGCTGTTTTGGTATGCATCACAGGAGCAGTTTGAGTGAGTGACGGTTTAGAGGCAGCATCATGTTGCAGCCCCAAGCACTCAGTCTGCTCCTTCACTAGAACTCACAAAGACAATAGACTAACCTGATCCCACAAAAGTAGGGATAAGAGCAGATAAGATGAAAGCTGGAAGGAGACTCTGGAGGAATGCAGCACCCTTGAATCAGGTTACAGCTGACCTTATCCCTATCCATTATTCAAGCTCCCCAGCCTGTCTAGGAGTGCAGTCAGGAGAATAAAATGAAGGAGCACAAGGTAAAGAGGAAGAAGACTAGGGCAGGGGTCTGCAACCTGCGGCTCCGGAGCCGCATGTGGCTCTTTTACACCTTTGCCGCGGCTCCGGGGCAGATACTAGCGAGGGGAGGAGGTGCATTGTGCACCCCGACACTCCCCACTGTGGCGGGCGCTGTACTGGCTGTGACGTCGCATGGGGGCGGTGCGTGCGTTAGCCACGCACCGTCCCAACGTCACCTTCCCGCCCACTGTCAGATCGCGGCTCCGGAGATATATTTGTTTTAAATGTCGCAATGGTTTTGCGGCTCCCAGTTTTTTTCCCCTTTGGAAACGGGTCCAAGTGGCTCTTTTTGTCTTAAAGGTTGCAGACCCCTGGACTAGGGAATCCTAGGCATCACATTGTCCACTAATCCAGAGAAAGTCATGACCAGGAAGCACATTCTAGGCTCCTCCATTTACAGGCCTGACCTTCAGGAGTAAGTTATGTTAGGGAATGCAAGATAATTTGGTGCGTTTTCTAATCTAGATGGCTAAGCAAGTGGTTGTTGGTTATTGTCCCCCCCGCCCCCCCGCTGCAATGGGTTGTTTTGAAAAAATCTCTCTCTCTTTTAAATTAAGTTCCTTCCCAACTATATTGCTATATGCCATGAAGCTCCCTAGGCGACCTTGGGCCAGTCACTGTCTCTCAGCCTAACCTACCTCAAAGGGTTGTTGTGAGGATTAAAGGGGGAGGGGAGAACCATATACGCCCCCTTGGGCTCCTTGCAGGATAACGTGGTGTATAAATTGAAGAAATAAACAAAATAAAACAAAACAGGTAGTGCTAGGGTCGCACAAATCCGGGCACAAAAGTATAAAATTGCAAAAAAAGAGAGAGAAGTTTTTGAGCTATTTTAAAGGGAAATCGCCAAAAATGACACTGTCAACGTGAGTTGCCATGCATCCAGATTTTCCCGGACATTTTTTGAGATTTCCGCCTGGACACTGCTTCCGACTGCAGTATTCCAGCTATGTCAAGTAAATTCCGGATGTATGCCTACCCTAGGTTGTACCAAATGAAGAGAGAGAGACCTTTTGGGTTTTTGTATACTTGTTAACAACCAATGACCCATCAGAGTAAGCTTTATGCCTAGTCACTGGTCCATCTAGGTAAGTGTTGTTTAAACTGACTGGCAACAGTGCTCTTAATTCAGATTTCCATTTACTACAGAAAAACTGTTAAGCAAAAATAATCTGTGATACATCTGCAGTAGCTGCTGGTGGGGAAACCTTTAGCACATTTGGGGGGCGGGTTGATGGTTTGTCATGTGTCTGGTGATGTTTCAGTGGGTGGTCCCTCTCACCGCACTCCTGCTGTATTTTTGATACAGCTGTTTTATGCAAGAGCAAAGCAGCTGTTTCAAGCATAAGATATATACAATGAACATATTTTCAGGGATGTTGTTGCCAACCCCCCCCCCCCCAATCTCTAAATCTCTTGCACCAGGCCCCAGAACTTTTGCTGCCTTTTAAAAACATGTTGTTTATTGATATATATTTTAAAATACTTACAGAGCTGCTGGGCATGCTGCAAAGCTCAGTGCCAGTGAGAACTGAGCCACTCACCACTTTAATTTGCAGAGGTCCCAATCCACATACGTACTGGGAGCAGAAAATCCTGTTCATGTCCCATAGTTCAGGATGATAACCAGCAGCTGTCATCCCCTGCCCTCCCTGAAAGCCTAAGTTCGCACCCCTGTTTACAAATTGTGCCAGGTTCTTTGACGTATCTAGCAACACCCCTTCTTCCTTCCTTTCACAATGCCAATAACCATCTTTTCCTTCATGTTTCCCAGCAAGCATATTCTTGGCAACAGAGGAAAGAACGGCAGTCTTACAGGAAATTAAATGTATGGGGAACTGATAGTACAAATATATTTCCCTCCCCGCTTCCCTGTATGTTTGTTCAGCATTAATAAAGCATGTGGGTGTTAAATCTCACAGGAATCAAGTACAAGGGCAGAGAGGCGGCCATTTAATCCATGATTTCTGCTTCCAGTCTCAGGGCTGTGCTGTTTAGATCTGTATTGTATTCAGAAAGGTACACATTATTGAGCAAATGTAAGGGTTATTAGTAGTGTGTGGGAGGAAGAAACAGATTTCTCTACAAGAAGCAAAGTCAGCGCTATTGGCTTCCGCTACTTCAGGCAGTGGGCTGTTGCTATTTTAGGCTGGGCTTCAGCTACACAGAATGCACAATTATAGTTATTATTATTCAGCGCTTCTTTTCTGGGGGTACAAGAGGGTATGCAGTGCCAGCACTCCCTGCCCCCTGCAAATGTTAAAAATGCACTTACTGTAACAACGGTACTGTTGTTGTTGCTGTTTTTATTTATTCCACTTATATACCGCCATTCATCAAAAGATCTCAGGGCGGTTCACAAATAAAGACCCTTCTCTCTGCCTGAAAGAGTAGGAGGTTGGTGATCAAATGAAGCAGAGGGTGCTGGTACATGTGGTGTTTGTGTGTGTACGTGCAGAGGCTTTTTAAATAATGGGAGGCAGTGTGAAAATATATATATATCAGTGGATTGGTAGTGGTCCAGCAAATTCTTTCAAAATCATGGGAGAAACTCATCCATTTGGGTGCCTTTGCTGCTGTCACTGAAAAGCAGGCATCCAGGTAGGCTGAAGCTGTGAGCCATTGGGACATGGAACCAGTTGCATTTTCCCACTTGCAAGAGCACTAAAGGCAGAGCTCAGGTGGCCTGACTCAGCTGCAAAATAGATGTATCCTAACATCTCTGTTGGATGGTATGTTGTTCTATGCCTGGAAAACAACAGGTAGGGTTTTTCTTTTTGCTTGCCAAGGATGCACGATGATCTTCAGATACTGGATAAGCTCCCTTCGGAAGGCAGATTGGGTGCAGGCATAGAGATACATATTGGCAGCAGTGTTGGTCATTTCCAGCATGGTCCCTATATCTGCCACAATGTTTATAGTCTTGGAGTAATCCTTCCTTTCTATGTCATAGTAGGTGGTCTTGATGATGATTTGGGTAACAAACCTTGTGGTACAGAGATAGGCAAATGTCATTGAAACGGTCACCAGGAGGATAACGGACTTCTTTTTTGGTTTCCCTAAGTGGGTTTTAGGTGGGGTTCTATGCAACATCTCTCGAGAGAGACAGTGCACTTTGTTATGGCGCATTATCTGTCTTAGAATGAGGCTGTTCAAGGTGATGATGATGGTGTATGGGATAATATAGAGCAGAGAAGTCTGAAACCACACAAGTGCTTCAACATATGTTCTGGAGAGCGTAGGGTTATACTTGCAGATAGAAAGTCCTGTAGCATTCTCCACCGCCGAATAGTTGGACCAGTAATGGGGGATGGCCACAAGGTAGCTGCAGACATGGATCACACCAATAGCATACAGTGTGTTCCTGGCAGAACAGATTCTCATCTTTAGCCTGAAGGTGTTGATAGTGATAAAGCGCTCAATGGTGAAGGAGACCACCAGCCAGACAGAGGTGTTGACTGCACCGTAACAGAAAACATCCCGCAGGGTACACCAGGGGTCACTGTACCAGAATGGTCTTTCACTGAAATGTTCTGTGACCATCTCAAGGAGGACGAAAAGAACAAGGACCACTGTGTCCGAGAAGGACATGGCCATGAGGTGGTACTGACTGGAAGGGGCAATACGACAGTTCTTTCGCCACAAGATGAACAATGTCATAATATTTGCTGCAATGCAAAACAAGAACCATGTAACCCAAGAACCAGGACTAAATTCTGTAACTGGAAGCCTGTAATCAATAAACCGTATACCTAATACACGTCAGTGTAGCCCTGACCCCACCCCCTTTGTGCCTTGGCCCTGTATTTTCACAACACTTTTGTCTTCTTGTGTCCCCTCCACTCTGCCGTTCCCTAGACCTGTTTCCCCCGCTAACCCTTATATCTGCTTGTTCTGTTTATCCCTTCAGCTACCCTTCACCTCAACTGAGGGACCTTCTCTCAGTTTAGCAGCCCATTTACTCTCCACATACCCCCCCAAAATCTGTATGAAGTATGGATCCCAAATATACAACATTCTCCTCTCTTGTAGATGTTGGGCTACAAACATTCCGTTGCCATTTCCTTCTCCCTGAGCAATTCAAATATTTGGAAACACTTTCACATCAGCTCACTCAATTGGCTTCCCCATTGCAATTATTACTGCAGATAGGTCCATCGTACATGTTGGGTAAACTATTGCTCAGTTGGCAACCAAGGATCAGGTTCGAAGAGAAAATAAAGCTAATAGAGCTTCCTCTTTCATGGTACTATGCTAAGGGGTTGTATCCAGCATTTGGCATCCAACCGAGTAAGCTTTTCAACAAGGTCTCCACAATTGTAGAGTCGGAATATAAAATTCTGCCAATGTACTCACACAAGGTATCTAAAATAAAGATACCAAACCACCTTGTGTGAATACATTGACAGAAAGGCACTTTTTATGTTCTGACACTACAACTGTGGAGTAAGTCAACAGAATTTTCTCAGGCCATTGGTGGTCCTTCAGGAGCTAAATTCTACCCTGTTTTATCCCCTGCAAATTGGGAAGAAGAGTTATTTAGATTACCATTCAGCATCCTAAAACATCTATGACTGTTTCTCTCATATTATTTTTAAATGGTTCCAATGCTATCAGTGTAAACACATTTGAAGTAAATTTCAAGACGGTAGCAAGTCATGATATGTCAGCTGAAGATAACCGAGAAATAAGCTCAAAACAGGCTCAGCTGGAATACTGATTTGTAAACATCTCTAATGGCTGTCAGAACATCGAAGAACTGCATGAGCATCACTTGCAGACATTATACAGGCTGTCAGAAATCCCAAGGACACAAGAGGGAGAGCAGCTTCTAAAGCACCACCCAGCTTTAAGGACTGTTTTTCTCTCATTCAAAACTGTATTCTTCTTCTCCCCTTTCAGTGAGAAGCCGCCCCCCGCATCGCTGACTGTTGCTCTACCAGACATTAAATCTTTGTTGCTTCTGTGGTTGTATCCCTTGCTCAGGAAGACAGCCCAATTTG